CATCTAACATCATCCCACGTCCCTACAAAATCTTTTCACGGTGAAAACAAGATATGTTTCACGTAAACCTACTTCACCGAATCTTATATTTTTATGTTGCAACAATGTCAAGCAATAAAATTCTTCAAAACTTTTTCAAATAAAAAAATGTTATATTATTTGTGTATTTTTAAATCAAGTACATTTTGTTTATTTATGGGCTTTATTATTGTTTACAAAAATGGGCCTTCTTTTAAAAAGTAATTGTAAAAAAAGTTGGCAACAGTGAAGTGCGTGAACTAATTGGATGGAAACATATGATTACAGTTATCATATGACTATTACGTCACAGGAATTTATGAACTGATTAATTGGAACCGCGTGGTTGCAGTTATCATGTGACTATTACGTCACAGGAATTTATGAACTGATTAATTGGAACCACGTGATTGCAGTTATCATGTGACTATGACGTTACATGAATATTTAGCCTACTTCGGATAATTTTATAACATATGAATGTTAAATATACGATTGGGAGTGAGTGTGAGTTATTTTAACGTCTGACAATAAAACAACTTGATAGCTAGGTGATGGACCTCATAATTTCAAACCTCGGTCAAATTACGAGGACGACACTTGAGCTGGCACCTCCCTCTCCTAACTGCTCTACCACACCAACGGGGGGAGATTGAGCCTTGTCAGATTTAACATACATCATCCCCCTCTACTTGGCAGGTTTTCAGTGGCCTCCGGACTAGAACTCGCGACACTGATTTCCCGATTTCGTAACTATAACTACTAGGTTAGTGAGTGAGAGTTGTATTAATCTCGCATTATAAAGCTGCACGAAGGCTGTTGGTGTGGATCTTGGAATTTTTAACCATGCTCAAGAGACGAGGATGACACCTGAGCCGACATCCTTCCTTCTCCAGAATTCTACACCAAGCCTCGACTTTTTTTAAGTGCAGCGACCCCCTCTACACGGCGGGTCTTCAACGGCACCAGGCTCGAACTCATGACATGCCAGCCATGAGTCCATGACCTTGACCATTAGACTAACACGGTCAATACATGGTTGACAAAATAAAGAGCAAACAAGTAATATTAAAATTTTTGTTAACTTCAATTCCTACTTCGTTACAAAAACGTACTGGCGCCATTTGTTGCAGCTAGTTGTAACTAACGCAGAATAAATTAGACAGAAATAGCGCAGAATAAATTTAAAATTAAAAAATAAAATTATTTTATGAATTAATATTTTAAAAATCTGTATTACATTATCATCCAGTGTCATCCACTACAAGTTAAAAAAAATTATTTGAACTTGAATGGATGAATAGAAAGTAGTTTATTAACGATTGAAAATTTGAACAGGATATATCTCGTATATATATATAGGGAGAGAGTGAACTACTAGTATAGGAATTGAAAAATAAGTTTAATTTAACAAACTTGATTTTTTGTTTAGTAAAAACACCCAGTAAAAAAAGTGGGTTTTGTTTGTAATGTCAAAATATTATTCTTTTTCTTTCGAATGATGCATTAGTTGCAATATTTGAACTTATGTTTATCGATAAACCATATCAGTAGGGGAATTTATGTAAAAAAAAAGCCTTTGTGTTTCGCAGTCAAACAGGATCTTGAAAGTTACCCTATCGAGTCTTCTTAACAAAGAGCACAGATACCTTTTGAAGTGCTCATCATTGGTATTCCGGTCAGGAACAGAGACGTTTACGATAATGGTACCGATAAGGTGATGATCATTTTATGAGTCATTGGGGGAAATGATTTATTCTCGATTCTTCATGAATCGTTCGTACTTTCACAGAATACATAAACACAGATTCGAACGATCGAGAAAAGCTGATTTTTCAAATTGCTTTTATCCCTCAATGGCAATAATTGCGACTGAAACTGGTTGATGTTTTTAGTTTTTGCGAGATGTAAATTTATGTCTCATTAAACAAACCTATATTATGTGTGTGAACTGTTACGTGCATATATTTTAATGCAGTACATGTATATTATATTGTAAGTTTAATCTTATTTCAATCTCACATACTTACTTATAGTTCTATTGTTGGGAACTTGTGCATCATTATGTTAATTTCTATCAAGTTTATAGGGGAATTTAAATGAATGAGAGTAATAAATTCAGAATGGGTTCGTGAGATATTTTCATGTACCTGTTGTCATCTTTAATACCTTTCGCATTAATGTCCGAAGATGAAAAATGAAATAAAAGCAATATATATATATATATATAATATAATATAATCCCCATTAATTTATTCTTAATAACTTTTAATTACCTATGGTCCATCCCTTCAGGACACACTTGTAGTAATAAGTTAGCTAGCCACCTAACGAGAGTATTTTGAGCTACATCTATCCACCCACTCAGATCATGTGATTTGAGCTGCCTATAAATACTGAGATTTCTGGAGACCGCTCTCTTCTGTTATTTGTCTGCCTTCAACATGTAGCCGGCTGCAGCTCATTGTACATTCGTTTTCTTTGTTCTGCATTGTGCATTCGTTTTCTTTGTTCTGTAACGTGCTTTCAAGACGTGGAATAAAACAGATTTAAATAATCACAGGCCTGCCTCGTCAATCCCATCTAAAGAAAACATCAGCCATCAAAAATAGTGATAATGTTAAGGAATCCATTCCAACGGCCATCGTCTATATATATATATATTGTTGAAAAAGTTAGAAGTACCAATAGTGACGTGAATTCTCTACGACAATGTTAATAGGAACAAATACAAGAATTTAAGCAATAGATAGGGACTCCTTCAATTTACATTAAAATAGAAATTGAAAAGAGTATTTAAAAATATTCAATATAAGTTCCGAAATTCTTATTTGAATACATATGATAAAGTATTTGTTTGAATGATTTTTATTTTTATTTTAAAATGCCAGGTAACAAAATACAATTGTTACTGCCGTAAAGTTTGTCATTACTTTTTCACGCATTTTAGCTCACAATTATTATATTTATTCGACATTTAACGGCACATAAGATATTTAAGCAAAATATATGTTTTATCAACAATGATAATGCACATAAGTAAGCAAAATACATTTGGTTTAAAATAAAAACCTTTTTAATCTTAAAAACATTTCAATTAATTTTTTTTACTTCCGGAAAATCCAGCGTATAACGCTCACAGCTACTGTCGTAGACCCTCATTAACCACCAAAATATTTTTTTGCTGACGTGGACCTCTTGCAGGTTGTCATGGACCTTTAGGGATCGATATAGACCACTTTGGGAATCACTGATTTAGCCCATTGCTTATTCTTCAAAGGGAAGAAAATAGAGGCCAAACGTTAAAAAATTTTATGATTTGCAAAATAAAATCAATTTTTTATGGCCGAAAAATAAACCAAGGTTGATGATAAAAACCATCTCACACAGTTAACATTTTCGGGAGATAATGCTCATTTAAATGAGCTAAACACGATGAATGAGCAGATACAAAGCGATAAGTAACGCAGATAGTTGTAAATTAATTTTTTTAAAAATAACAGCATTAATAAATAGTATATTAAGCTTATAAATACAGGGGTTATAAATAAAATGTAAACACACTTTAAGACTGGATAATATGTTAATGCCACAAATTTGTGATCGCATTGGCTGTAGGATTAAGTTGTACTTTCACTTGAGATCTCATAATATAAGTTTCATTTTCAAAGATTTTATAGTTGAAATTTTGCGCTGATTAGTGGGTGTAGGTGCTCATTCATCGTGTTTAGCTCATTTAAATGAGCATTATCTCCCGAAAATGTTAACTGTGTGAGATGGTTTTTATCATCAACCTTGGTTTATTTTTCGGCTATAAAAAATTGATTTTAGTTTGCAAATCATAAAAAATTTTAACGTTTGGCTTCTACTTTCTTCTTTTTGAAGAATAAGCAATGGGCTAAATCAGTGATTCCCAAAGTGGTCTATATCGATCCCTAAAGGTCCATGACAACCTGCAAGAGGTCCACGTCAGCAAAAAAATATTTTGGGGGTTAATGAGGTGTAAATGGGGTCTACGACTCTAATGTCTACGACGCTAAAGTAGCTGTGAGCGTTATACGCCGGATTTTCCGGAAGTAAAAAAAATTAATTGAAATGTTTTTAAGATTAAAAAGGTTTTTATTTTAAACCAAATGTATTTTGCTTACTTATGTGCATTATCATTGTTGATAAAACATATATTTTGCTTAAATATCTTATGTGCTGTTAAAATGTTGAATAAATATAATAATTGTTGAGCTAAAATGCGTGAAAAAAGTAATGACAAACTTTACGGCAGTTAACGATTGTAAGTTTTGTTACCTGCACATTTTAGAAATAGAAATAAAAATCATTCAAACAAATACTTTATCATATGTATTCAAGTAAGGAATTTTGGAACTTATATATTGAATTAAATGTTGAATAAGCATGCTTTGATTTTGATTAAATTTATATATGAGAAATGTAGCGATCGTTTATTAAATATTTTATGAGCAAAACATAAAAAACTTCACCTTTCGTGGGCCAGGCGCCTCAGACTAGAATCTCCCGCATCTTGAGTGAGTATTGCATAATTTAGTAAAGATTTCTGAAAATAAAATCATTGATTAGTATCTGAAACACAAAGTAACACATATATTCGCATTAAGAAATAATTCTTGTTAATAATGAATTTTTAATTTTAGTGAAACCTCCAATATAGTTTTGTATTTGAACAAATTTTTTAAGTCAATTTCTACTTAGGTCAACAAAGAAAAATTTAATTTTAGCTACTTTTTGCTAAATAGTTACAATTAATATAAATATGTATTTACATACGACAGAATCACAATATTAAGTGACAAATAGAAAGCGATTTTCCTTGCAATTTTCCATTTTCCTTTCTATATAGGGCGTTAGACTATTTTTTTTGTTTGTTGCTATTTATTCATCACAATTAAATTTAATTATTCCAATAAAATACTATAGTAAAAAAGAAACCACATTCGCAGAAATTAGGCCATCCCAGTTGGGATTCTAACGCACGTCCTTTGGATTAAAAGTCCAACGCGCTATCCATTGCGCTACAAGGATACTACAAGGGATTTTCCTTTTTATATATGTGTTGGACTATATTTGTTACTATTTATTCATTTTTTAATTCAATAAATGAATCAATATTTGAAAAACTGTATTGAAATCAAGTGTCATCCACTACAAATTTTAAAAAAGTGTATTTGAACTTGAATGAATGAATAGAAAGTATTTTATTAACGATTGAAAATTTGAACTATATATATATATATAATATATAAAATAATATAAATATATATATATAATATATAAAAAAAAAAATATAATATATATATATATATATATATATATATATAAAATTGGTTTTTTTTAAAAAAAAGCGCTGGATGTTAAAGAAAAAAAAAAGAAATTTCTACAGTTTTAGATTTTTAAAAATCTAAAATGCAAGATATTCCAAAAAACCTTGTTCGAATTTCAAAAAATTGATTGTTCGTAAGTATGGATACAGAATTAGAGGCTTCAGAATAAATTTTTAAAGAATAAAATTCAAACTTATTAAAACTAAACTAATCAAATTTTTGGTAATGATATAGTAAAAAATAATAAAAATAATGATAGTTTAAAAAACAGCTATTTAAATAAATGTTTTTCATTAATAAAAAAAAAAAAACGCATAAAATTTTCTCCCTGATATTTGAAATAAATATTCATAGATAAAAACTGCATTACTACATGGAATTAATAAATTCGATAAATACCTATGAATTTTATTATTTGGCAAATTTAAATAAATATAGCTGAATTTGGTTTGAAAAAGTGAAACATTCTTAAAGTTTGAATTTGAAGTCCTTTTATGGCTAGTTTCCAGAGAATTTATATAATTTGAATAACTTCGACGATGTGATTCAATGCTTAAACTTAACAATAAAAAGATGTTCGGTAATTAACGTATGAATTCATTTTTCAAAAATATAGTAGAAATGACTCACGCTATAAGTGGGCCTCATTCTCTACATGTCTATCCTGACGTACTTTTATTGATGTTTGATAATAAGGTGTGTATGTGTGAAGTTTTTAAGGTCAATTTTTGATATTTGGTGAAACGAACTCATATTTCTACAATAATTTAGCTATAAAAATACTAAATATTATATTAAATAAGTATTTTAGTATATTATGCTTTAGTAAGTATTGCGAACTATCTCTTTGAAATTCTGGAAGCAATTGATTGTTTTATGCAATTATGAAAGATATTGAAGGCTTTTATTTATAGATATATATCATAGACAAATAAGTGAAAATCTTGCAATGTATTATCGTAGAATTAAGAATTAATTTATTTAAAATTCTTCAAAGATTTACGAAATTATAATATTCCAATTTATCTGTCCCTTTAAATGCAAGCGGTATAGGAGAAAGTAAAGCTACATTTTTCGTCATACTAATAGTTTTTATTCAAGATCTTTTTTTAATTCAATTTATTATTTCCTCATCATTTTATTAAAGATTTTCAAAACACTATGCTTCAGAAATGCTAAGTCTAATTACTTTATTCTAGATTAAATCGTTCAAATTGCATATAGAGTCGATTCTCGATACTTCGAAGTTGGTGGGACCAATGAAAAACTTCGAATGATCAAGAATTCGAATTATCAAGGGGGTAGGAAAAAACTCCCAAAATACTCGAAGGTATCTAAGGTTTGAGTTATCGAGAGTAGACAGTAATAGATCTTGAAGAATCTTGAATGCACACTATATAATTCTACAAGTATTCGAAGAATTATACACATAGTTAAAGTGAATCATATGATGTTACTAAAAATCCTATCCAATTGATAATAGAATCAAACCGAGGCCCAAGCAATTCATCGTGGCAAAGAGAGCTTGTTGCTAGGCTGTTTACGCTTGTCATTTGGCCATAACTTTGAGTACCATGCAGATGACAGTATGATTTCGCTCCTTTCCACCCCAATTTTCAGAGAGAACCCCCCCCCCGGGGGGCCTGAGGTGGTCTACAACCCCTTTTCCTCTACCTCCAATCTCTGGAGAGGACTTCCAGCTCACCGAATATTTAGAGTGCCCCATGCTGCACATACACTATACATCTGTCCATGCCTTTCCCGGGATTCAAACTCGGGTCCCGTACAGCAATCAGCGTCACTATACAGTCTGGGTGGCTGATTCATATAGATAGTTAATATAAATATAGATAGACAATTTTAATTTTTCTAAGAATAAAATAAAATTAATATGATTTTTTTCACTTTGAAATTACTTATTACTTTAAAAGCCAAAAGTAAAGGGACGTTAGAGAATCTTTATTGAAAATATTATTAAACTATCGAAATTTTGAATATAGAAGCATCATTTTTTTTTTAATAACATTTATCTATTCCTTCTAATGTGTCCTTATTTTAGTCGGGAAATAATCCAGTAAAAGATATTCTTATACAAAATGTGTCAATGACAAATTTCAGCTTAAGAATATAAGCGAATGAAATTTAATAGCTAAGTGAATTGATTCATAATGCGGTCTGAAACAAGAGTTTGACAAAAATCAATCCAAAATAAAATAAAAAACAACGGACTTCGCAAATTTCAACCTGCTGATGAAGCGACGAGGAAGACATCTGAGCTGTAACGCCGCTGTTCAATTTTCCACACTACATCAACGCGAGAACTTTGAGCCAAGACAGATTTAACATTCATCAGTCTCTTTGCAAGGTGGATCGACAGTGGCACCAGGACTCGAACTCAAGATGCTGCGCAGACCACGACTTCGAGACCATAGCCAGTAGATTACTATGGCAGCATACTTTAGTCAAAAGAAAAAGCTCGTGAAAGAAATTTTTATATGAAATGTTTCAATGAAAGTGACGCTTTAATTTTCATTATGATTTATTAAATTTTTCCTTACTATAGGGGTCTTCAACCTTTTATGTTCGAGGGCCAAATTAATAAATTTACAATGATCCACGGGCCACATCAATAAATTTACAGTGATTCGCGGGGCCCACAATTGTCTCAAAAATATTGTAGTCAAGAAATTCATATAAGAAAATAGGAGATTTTGTTATACGACTACGACTGATTTTAAAGAGATGGTGTTTACAGATTAGTATATATATATATATATATATATATATCGATTTCAGAAAAGTTAATGGAATTCGAATTCAAATTCTTTACAAACCTGTTAAAGATAAAAATCCATCTTTTTTTCGAAAATTTTATGAGATTTTAAGCATAGTCAGATTTTTAATATTTAAAATTATTCAAGATACAGTAAAATTTTTGAAAAAATCGTCATTTTTAGAAAATTTTGTCTCAAATGAATATCAAACATATCAGTGAAATGTTTTAAATAAGAAGAATAACAGAAAAAATGGCGTTTTTTTATGACAAAAAGCAAACAAGGCAATTTTTTAAAAAAATAACCACAAGTTCAAATGAGGGGTCACTAAAATACTTTCAGAGGGCCATTCGTTGCCCGCGGGTCACGGGTTAAAGACAACTTCCTTACAATATGTTAGTATAATTGAAATGGTAGTTATTTTTCACCATTTCACAGAACAACTTTGCAATATACGTATATTATTTCACTTTATCTTTTATCTCTATATCTATCAAAGATTGAGCTCATTTTAACTAGTAAACAGAGATCTCTGTCAAAACAGCGACTGTTCTAAATATTCAAATGAGTCCGATCGATCCACACACGATCGAAAAAGTAAGACGTGCAAAATAGGACCGAAATACACAGGCGCTTCCTGCTTCGCGACTCGTGAACAAATATTTTCATGCTCGTAGTAGAGCGCAACACGCAATAGAGTCAATATTTACAAGATATTCGTCATGTGATTAAGTCAACATGAAAAAATGTTAGAAAAACACGTGAAACGCTTCTCTGCCGAATGCATAGATATGCATTGCAGAATCCACCTAGAAAAAGTGCGATAAGGTTTCTGGTTGAAAAACAAAGCCGTTTCTTTGATGCTCGCTTCCTACTTAAATTACAATGCACCGCCTGTTGTCGGTGCGGGTCATTTGCATGAATCTCGTTGCGTTGACCGTGGAGAGGTTAAGACAACTTCATGCCGCTGCGTGTTTTTTTTAAAAAAAAAATCGGATTGTTATCCGACTAAAATCGTATTTTTAGAGTTTCGAAGAATGTTAGGATTAATTTATCATAAACTGTAGGTTTTCGTGTTCAAATCGAACTATAAAAGCGTTTTTAAACTGTTGGGCGTGTCCCCCTCCCAGGAGGACGCGATAACTCTACGAGGGGTGTGCGAGCATATTGAAAAGTCGAAAACAAGATATTATTTAAAAGAATTATTAATTTACTGAATACACATTTATACTGATATAATACACTTATAAAAATACATTGTGCAGTTCTGATGCATTTATAATTAGTTTAACAATACTAAGAACAAGTTTATAATTATTACCAGTGGCCCAAGGGATTGTCATGTATATATACAAAAATTAACATTTATCATGATAGTTTGTACGGTGGATAATTAATCCCTTCCGATTAAAAGTTACGCAATTCGCTCCCGAATGCCCCGTTTTCCAGGTAGGCACGCATATGTGATGTATGGAGGGGAAAAAATGTAAACAATCACAAATCCCCTGAAATAAGTAAATCCTTCGCAAACACGGTCAAGGTTCTTTTTTTAGCATTACAAAGCCGCCCGAATAATTTTATGGATTGCAGTACAGAGAAAAGATCGTACTCTTCGGAAATACGTATATATACGTCCGGGGGCAATTAACGCTTTGATTGAGCGAGACGTTTATATACTCTAGTGTCACTTAAAAGGTTGAAGTCGTACTGCAGCTTTAGCGTTAAAGTATAGCATTTTTTAATTCAGTACACTATATTTATGAGAAGGGTAGGGGCACGATGAAAATTATTATTGAATATTGGATCGCGAGTATTGAAAGTTTGAGAAGCACTGAACACTAAAGGCATCTCTGTAAAGCAACGTTTCTCAAATTGTGGGCAACCCCCCCCCCCAAAGGGGAGCTTTATAACCCTAGGTGGGGGGGGG